CGCTCTCATTTTCTGTGTGCCCACAGATCGCGATAAGGAGAGTGACAGCTTTTAATAATTATTAAGGGAGTTTGCCAATGTGATATTGATTCAATACAACAGTTCAGTAAACAAGTACTGCCTGATTTTGCTCTATTTCTTTAAGAAAATAGTTCCAAATATAGTAACAGCTCAAGGGAGTGACGTGCGGTGACGCACTGCCAAGATGGCGACGGCCGGCTCTGCCCACTTTGAGCTTCAAAAACCTCTTCAGGAACCTACGGGTGACGTCTACGTCCATGTTTTTATACAGTCTATGGTTTGTCAGTATGAATTGTCTTCGGTTTTTATGGACAGAGCGTGTCAATGTTAAGAGCAAGCTGGTTGACAGATGTGGTCAGAGGCCTTGCGCTCTCTTTCTCTCTCTGCATGAGTGTTGTCAACACCTCCAGGTTTACGCTGTGACTTAACCGGGCATGACATGACAACGACCAGAAGTTATGCAGTTTCACTGAGAGTTGATAACATGAACAACAGCAACTGGTGGTGATTTTATGCAAATGCAGCAAGTAACAATAAAGATTGCACTTGTGAGCCGTGTCCTTTAATGTACTGTATAGTAGTGTGTAGGTGTGACGGAGAAGTTAATGTATTTATAAAGTTAACCTGTTCCATATGGTTTGTCTTTGTTGAGATATTGAATTGGTGGGTTTTTGTTAAATGTGAGCCAAAATCATCACAATTAAAAGAACCAAAGACTTAATCTACTTCAGCCTGTGTGCATTGAATTTATTTAATACACGAGTTTCACAATTTGAGTTGAATTACTGAAATAAATGAACTTTTCCACGACATTCTAATTTATTGAGATGCACCTGTATATGAATATAATACAAAGGTGTGATTATTACGTGCAAATTTTAAAAACCTTTTTTTGTTTCAGATCTTTTTGATTTAGTTAAAAAAAATTCTGAAGAAAGATAAACATGTATAGTGATGAAAGTGAAAATATTAAATGTCATGGATGTATATTTACTGAGTAATCCACTGTTTTGTAGAGGGGGGTCATAATGACCATTTTCACCTGAGATTTGGAGCCAAATTACAGGAGGGTAAAACTGACTTCAGAAAGATGGCAGCATCATTATTTTATGTTTACACAGAGATTGGTATGTCTATTAGTAAAATCTGTTGACTTTAGTAATCTTTGTTTCATTATATGCCAACAATGACAGTTCAAAAATGTCAAAAAGCACTTTTTTTGCCATAAGTTTGCATACCTGTAACATGAGAAGTATTAGAGATATCTTAATATCCTTTTAGATTCTGGTCCTTAACAAACAAACAAACAAAAAATTGAGCCAGGGAAGTTTCTGAAATTTGGTTGCTTTGACAGAGTGACCCAGATGTCAGTGGTAACCAAAATGTTTTGCCTGTAACATGGCAGAAATAGCTTTTATTTTTTGTTACTTTATCGTGTTGGACCTGATTAGGTCAACTTATTGTACTCATGGGCACAAATGTGCCATCAATATCTAAAGTGTTTCAGTATTTTGCTATGGTTTGAACCTCGTTCCCACTTTCTTTCTGTTGCTGAGTGCTTTCTGCCTAGCAACAGTGCTTTGCTGTGGGCAAGCAGGCTGCTGCTAGTATGATTTCCTCTGAATAGGGATTTAGTGGTTGTGGATTGGGGCTGGCTGACATCTGAACCACAAAACTGGGTTTAGAATTTGGACTTGGTTTTGGCATCGCATTCAGGTATCTATCTGCTGTATTTTTATTTATTTTTTCTTGAACAAAGCTCTGATTCTGTGTTTTATGTTTAATACCAGTTTTCATCCAACCACTGCAAGGGGTTTTACTGGAAAGACACAAAATTGGGGCAAATTTTGCATATGCAAATTCTTCACTGCGCCCACAGAGATTTCCTAAAACTCAGATTGCTTTCTATTCACCAAGATGACAAGAAGGGGGAAAAAAATAATAAAACAATATTTTTCTCTCTCTGTTTGTTACTGCATAGAGTGGGAGTGGATTAAAAAAATT